ACTACTTGTGCTACTCCGAGTAATACCAAGTCTCACAATAACAACAAATTTGGTACGACTATTACCACCACCACCATTACCATTCCGACTACTACCACATTCCTTTCAACACGCATCAGGACAGATGTTCGTGTGGTCGATTTTGTATGGGCGGGCATGCAAGCCTGTAAGAGTTGTCTAGTTGTACAGCTAAGAAAGGAAGCCATTACAGATTTCTTTGATCCGAGATGCCAGCGCAGGCCACAGTAACACCCATCCGGCCGCGCGCCGGACCACGCAAACACGCACCAGGCCACACCAGCACCCACCTGGCCACACAACCGCGCGGTCGCTTTTTGGGAGGGGGGTCCAACGGCCAGGGGTGGTGGGAGGGGCGGAGGGGCAGGGCGCCGAGGGAGGAGGCGGAGGGAGGGCTGGGGAGGGTGTGACTAGCGGTGGGGCGGAGGGGGTGGGAGGGCTGGGGCGGGAGGCGGCGGAGGGAGGGAGGGGGAGCGGGAGCGGGGGCGGAGAGCGGGGAACGAGGGCGGACGTCCGCGGGGGGCGCGATCGACTGGACACCACCCCACCCACGACACGCTGCGTCCCAGGTCCTGGGCGGGTCGCGCGCGGAGTGGTGTCCTGGGCGGTCGCGGGCGAGCAGGAGCCCAGATTCTCAGCCTCGCTGGGTCGTGGGGTGGTGGCGTTCGGGCGTGCGTCTACGCCAGACCCCGCCTCCTCCTCCTCCTCCTCCTCCTCCTCCTCCTCCTCCTCCTCCTCCTCCTCCTCCTCCTCCTCCTCCTCCCCCTCCCCCTCCCCCTCGCCCTCCTCCCCTCCTCCTCGACCCCGCGGGGGGTCGACGGCGGAATGCTCTCTGCCCAGGGAGCGCACGTGCGGGCTCGGCGCCGCCCCGGCGGAGCCGCCGGGAGGTTCGGCGGTCGGGCGCGGCGCGCGCGAGCCGCGGGCGGCGGCCGGGCGGCGCTCGAGTCTCGGCCGAGCCCGCGGCGGCCGCTGGCCGGTGTGATCGAAGCGGGTGCAGAAGTTCCCCAATCAGGGCTTGCACTGATCGGGGCGACCGACATGGGTACGGAAAGAATGGGTACAATGCCCAAAAGCAGTTCCTGTTCATTTTGAACAGGACTCGCTGTCCACGCCGCCGCGGCCTGTGTCTATTTGAGACAGGAGGCCGCCTGCCCAACAGCGTCCGCTGTTGGTTTGGGACAACATTTGTTGTTGGGCATTGTACCCAATTTTTCCGTGCCCATTTCGGGCGTCCAAAATTGAAAGGGTCCTTGCGGAAGTTGTTTGGCGGAAGTTTCCCGCCGATTTTTTGGTAGCAGGCTGGGTTCCCGGTTCCGGGTTCCCGGGTTCCCGGTTATCGGTTCCGGGCCGATTTCGGTGGGCTCTGGGTTCCCGGGCTCCCGGGTTCCTGGTCGATCTCCTCAGCGAAAACCACCCGCTGATTGGGGTTTTCTCTGGTGTAAGAGGCAGGTCGCTGAAAGCAGGTATTGTGGAATCCCCAGGGCCCCATCTGTTTGCTTTAGCCGCCGTCCTGCTGCAGGGAGGCGAGAGCGGGCTTCCGTCGTCCCTCCTCTGCAGGGGGCGGGCGGGAGGCCAGTCTGCTTCCAGCGCCTCCCTGCCTCGTGTGGTTCTGCCGGCTTCTTCCGGCCGACGGGTAGTGTGTTCAGGGTCAACGATAGGGGGAGTAGGCATAGGGGGGGATGCATCGACCCCCTGTCGCCCATTGATCGCCGATAGGGGCCCGATAGCCCCAAGCTGCCCAGGAAGATGCGGATCCACTGTCGGGGGCATATCGCCGATCTATCGGCGATGGATCGCCGATTCCAGGTCAGAGTGAAAGAGAGAAAGAGAGAGAAAGAGAGAGAGAGAGAGGGAGGAACGAGAGCAAGAGAAATAGATAACAAACAAAGAGCGAGGGAGAGCGAGCGAGAGTGAACGAGAGAGAGGGAGAGAGAAACAAGCAAAACAAAACGTCGTCGTCTGCCCCTGGGGAGCGGCGCGAGAGCGCAGCGCCCTTCGCCTCGCGCAGCGCGGCGCCCCGAGCGCACCCTGTCACCCGTGGAGCTCCCCGCGGCCGCGCGCCGCCCAGGCGCTCGCGCTGAGCGAGACGGCCGGCAAGGGCGGCCTCGGGCCCCTGATGGCCTTCTTCGTGGACTACCTCGGCATCCTGACCGCCGAGGCCCCCCCCGACGTCCCCGTCGGCTCCCCTTCCTCGTCCCCCTGCTCGTCGGCCTCCTCCTTGCTCCTGCCCGCCTCCGCCTCCGCCTCCGCCTCCTCCTCCTTCTCCTCCTCCTCTTCCTCCTCATCCTCCTCCCTCCACCCTCCTCCTCCTCCTCCTCCTCCTCCCTCCTGCCTCCTCTTCCTCCTCCTCCTCCTCCTCCTCCTCCTCCTGCCCGTCATTCCCCGATTTCGCCCCCTTCTTCCTCCTCCTCCTCCTCCTCCTCCTCCTCCTCCTCCTCCTCCTCCTCCTGCGCCCCTTCCCCGCCCTGCTCCCCCTCATAATTCCCTCGGCCACGCTCGAAGAAGATAGTGTGGCACACGCAGAAGCCCTCGGCGCTCCGCGTGGAGGCTCGAGGGTCGAGTCTCGAGGCTCGGGCGTCGTCGAGGAGAGAGGATCGAGGGTCGAGGACCGTCGAGGTTCGAATCGAGGATCGAAGCAGCTGCACAAGCCGAAGCTTCTGACGCCCCGCGCGGATATATCTTGGATCTCCGCGCGGGGCGCCCCCCGGGCGGCGCCGCCGGCGCCGCCGCGGCCTCGCGCTGCCGCAGGTCCAGGACTCCCGCGCGGACCACCAAACATGCTTTTCTCGCGTTTGTCCCCCCTCCTGTACCCCCTTCTTTGTTAATTCAAGCTGTGCGCGGCCCGCTTAGCTTCGACCTGAAGAGGTGCGCTCTCGACCCGCGAATCAAACAACTGTTTCTGGTCTATTCTATATATATACATATATATATACATATGTACATCATGAGGACCTTTCGCTGGAGTGATCCTTGGCGTGAGCTCGCGGGGTTCTCGCCAGCACTGGCTAGTGCGCTGGCATTGCTCGGGTTTCGTGCTCCTGAAGGAGGGTCTCGTGTTCCTGAAGGACGCTCGTCTGTCCTCGTTTCCACTGTGTATTGGTGGGGCCGCGGTCCGTCCGTGAGGTCGCCTGCAAGATAGTCAGTTCCCGACCATTGGGGGGGGGGCTCTGAAGTTTTCCCGGGGCTAATCCGACCGCAGTGACTAGGGGAACGAAAAGTGACATAAACATAAAAACTCTGAGGTCCGCGCGGATTTCTTGGATCCGCGCTGGACCCCCCTTCCCTGGCGCGCGGAGCGCGCCAGAGGCGGCGCCGGAGGCGCCGCCAGGGGTCCCCAGCGCCGATCCGAGAAATCCGCGCGGACCTCCGAGTTTTATGCTTGTGTCATTGTCTGGTCCCCTAGTGACACAGAGGCCCCCCCGCAGGTTGGGTCCGACCGTCGCCGGCGGGCTCTGCAGGCCATGCCCGGGTGCCCTCGGGGGCGGCGCGGCGCCGAGGGCGCGCCGACGAGGCCCCCGGCGGGCCCCCGCGGCCGGCCGGCGGCGGCGGCCGCGCCCCCGGCTCGCCGAGGAGGAGGCGCCCCCGGAGAAGAGGCAGAAGCCCAAGGAGCCGAGGGGGCGGGGCGGCCTACTCCTCCTCCTCCTCCTTCTCCTCCTCCTCCTCCTCCTCCTCCTCCTCCTCCTCATTCTTCTCCGCCTCCGCCTCGAGGACGAGGAGGCGGAGGACGAGGAGGTGGAGGACGAGGAGGCGGAGGAGGAGGGGGGGGATGAGGACGAAGCCCAAGGAGCCGAGGGGGCTGGGCTCTAGGCCTCCTGGACGGGGTCCGAGTAGATGGGGTCGGAGGATCGCGCCGCATCGTCGATGCATCGGCGATGCGGCTCGATGCGGAGCCTGATTTTCTTCACGTTGGCGTCGCCGATGCATCGCCGATGTCGCCGATGCATTGGCGATGCATCGGCGATGTATCGCTGATGTATCGGCGATGCGGCGCGATCTTCCGACCCCATCAGCTCGGACCCCATCTAGGAGGCCTCTAGGGGCGGCGGGGGGGAGGGCCGCGCGCAGAGGAGGGGGCCTGTCACGCCGCCCAGGGGCCCGGAATCGGCCAGTGTGGGAGGAGGTGGCGATCGGAGAGGCTGAGGATCCCCTCGGATTCGGAAGCACTGGGCGACCGACCTGGCGGGTGAACAATGTGGAACGATCTTGCACCGATCGGTCAAGCTAGAGCGATCCGCGCGGCGTCAGAAGCCATGGCAGAGGTCGTCACCGCGCGAAGCCTCGGCAACGCGCAGGGGGGGGCGGGGGGAGGGGGGAGGCTTCTTGGAAGCATCCCTCCTCTAAGAAGCAGCCTCCTTCTAGTAAGCCGTGCCCCCTCCCCCTACCCCCTTGTGCGCGCCGCCAAGGGTGGTTGCGGAGGGCGAGGAGGAGGAGGTAGCTCTTTCGAATGATGGCGGGAGGGGGCGGGGATGGAGGAGCGGGCGCAGTAATTGAGAGGGCGGGAGGAATAGAGAAGAGGAGGAGGAGGAGGAGGAGGAGGAGGAGGAGGAGGAGGAGGAGGAGGAGGAGGAGGAGGAGGAGGAGGAGAGGGAGGAGGAAGAGGCCAGTGTAAACCCACGAGTCATCAACGATGTTCGAATACAGACTCCCTCAAAACTCTTCATAGGCCCCTACAATATTTCCATTGAGAGGGCTGCCTCGTTTGAAGACAACCGTTTGAAGACCCTGGAGCATGCCCAAACATTGTTTTCGGGATTTCAACGCCATGGATCAACCTGGCTGCTGCATTTTGACGATCCAGAATCGTGCCAGAATGCCACTCCTGGGATTTCACCGCGAGTTAAAGTAACTGTTGCATCCGCACAATCCTGAATCGTTCCAAAACACATGTCTGGTACGCTGAGCATGGGAGCCCGTGCAACTATTGCACATTTTTTAAAAATGATTGTGCGCGGCGCGAAGCCGAGGGTCACATTTTGAAAAGGAGCCACCCTCCAGCCGTGAAGGTCGTTCAAACTTGTTATACGAGTGTGCGCGGCGCGGAGGCGAGCGCCGCATGTTGAAAACGGTTCGCCCTAAAGCCGTGAAGTTCTGGCAAATTGTTGAAACCAATGCGCGCGGCGCTAATGCGAGCGCCAGATTTTGAAAGCGGCTCGCCCTCCATCTGTGAGCCTGTTGCCAATATTTAAGCTCTAGGGTCATGAGTGGTGAGGAAACGCCCGGCTCGCCCTAACAATAGCTTCGGTGTGCGACAGAGAGAAGTGATTTATCAGGAGAAGGAGGACGAGGAGAAGGAGGAGGAGGAGGAGGAGGAGGAGGAGGAATTTCGAGGGGGGGCGGCGGAGGACGACGAGAACAAGTAGAACAAGGGGGACGAGCCTGACGATGAGGGCGAGGGGGGCGAGGTGGACGACGAGGACAGGGGGCGATGAAGGTGGTGCAGGGGGGGGGGAAAGGACGGTGAAGTCTGAGAGCCGAGGGGGGACGGCCCGGAGGAGGAGCGGCACGGGGAGGGGAGAGGCACCAGGAGGAGGACGGGGTTGCCTCGACGACGGGGGTGCGGTCGAAGAGTATGCCTGTTGGACGGATGTGTCGCACACAATCGACAGCTGGAGTTAACGCATCGCGGCGAGCTTGGCGTTTCTTTGTTGAAAGCCGGCGCGGAAGGATGGGGGAAGGCCCCGCACGAGAGCGTGCCGATTTGCGCAGGAGTGTGGGCACGGAGCGCGCTCTGTGGTGGCGCCTCGCACAGGAAGGGTGCTCGGCGAAGCCCCGTGCGGGCTGGAGGAGATGCAGGGAGCCAAAAGTGAAGGAATGAGCGTGGGGGGGGGGGCGGAAGCGAGCGTGGGAGTGGGCAGGCACAGGAGGGGCAGCAAGATGGTTGAGGCATCAGGGAGGATGCAGGAGGAGGAGGAGGAGGAGGAGGAGGAGGAGGAGGAGGAGGAGGAGGAGGAGGGGGAGGATGAGGAGGACATAGAGCGGAGGCGTAGAGGCATCGTATGAGGAGGAGACTGATGCACTTTCGGTGATCGGGGAAGGGGAGCTGGATGACGTCTCGGGGTGCCCCAGGGAGCAGGTACCCTGAGACCCAACGCCAGGAATTTGTGATTTGTGATGATGGTGATTGGGAGCAGCAGTAGCAGCTGCAGCAGCAGGACCAGGAGGAAGACACAACCTGGGATGAAAACACAGTCCCTGCCCTCGACCACGGTTTTCTGTTCGGCATTTTCTGAAGCCAATGCCATCCGTGAGGGTCTTGTCTCAGACATTGGGCGAGCACACCGTGGTTGGGAGAAGCAGCGACAGCACACTTAAACTGTTTGAGTTCTGCGCTGATCTCTCTGGGATTGGCGCTGGACCCCCCTCCCTGGTGCGGGGAGCACGCCAGGGGCCGCGCTGGAGGCGCCGCTAGGGTTGCCCGAGTCGATCATCAAAAAAACAACGCGGCGCGCCGAAGCGTAAGCTCATTCAGTTTTTTGATCTCTCAATTGTTGTGAACACTGGGGGTCTGGGTCGGTCGCGCATCTGATGTTAGAGAGGAAAGAGAACTATGCACATTCACCGATCCTGACAACGCCCATCTTGACCCAGGATCGGTGCATATACCTTCCTGGCCAAGGCAAGAGTGCGTATGCACCGATCCTGGGCTCAGGATGGTCCTGGCCAGAATCGGTGTATGTGCATAGTTCTCTTTTCTCTAATGTTAGGTTACCAGCAGATGGCCTCGACGGAACAGCAGAACAATAATCTTACAGTCGAGGAGGTCAACGCAGTGCGATGGGGGAAACGCCTCCCGAGCAGCTCCTGACCTCGTGGTCAGTTGCCGAAGCCAGCGCGCCGACAGAATGGATGAAACGTCTGCCTTCAAACTGCGCCGTCAGCTGTGTGGGGCGAAGATGCGGCAAAGATACAGGCTCCCCGAGAGACTTACAGCTCGGTTGTGCCATAATCGGGCGGGGCCAGGACGATGATGAATCCCTTTCGGAGCGTTCCAGGACGCTCCTGGAGCGCTCCGGGACGCTTTGGGAGGGCCGCGGCGCCCTGGCCATCCTCCGTTGGCGCCGGACGATGTAGGGATTCTCGGTGCACCGCCGCCCGACACGATGCTCGTCCTGGCTTCGGCCCAGAAGAACAGGGCTGGACCTAAACGGTGTTTTTGGTGATTTCGTGGGCCGTTTTCGTTTCGATTTCGTTTTGCGGTAAAGGCAGATTCGAGGCAAAAACAAGGGAAAACGAAAAGAACACGAACACGAAAAACGTCGTTCAGGTTCAGCCGTGCAGAAAAGATGCGCCAGGACCTGCTGGTGATGAAGAACCTCCGCTGCGGGTTCAAGAAGCTCCGGATGCTGGACATCAAGATCGGCCAGAAGACCGCGCAGGCGGTCGGCGCGACGGGCGCGGGCCTCGCGAGCGGGGGGGCAGCGGCTGGCCCCTCGGGCGGGAGGTGTTGGACTTCGCTGCCTGGGCGGCTTGTCCGCGGCAAGAAGGAGGACGAGGAGGCGGCAAGGAGGAGGAGGAGGAGGAGGAGGACGAGGAGGTCGAGGAGGAGGAGGAGGAGGACGAGGAATGGGGTGGAGGAGGAGGTAGGAGGGATGAGGGAGGGGGGACGAGTCGGCCGGATGGCGATGGGGGGATCAGGACATGGGGGGATGAGTATCCGGTGCCGTTTTGTTGGGGTACAATTTGTACCTTCTCTGCGGGTTGCAAGTACAAATTGTACCTTCTCCCCCCCGTTAACATCCTCGCACACGTCGCGGACGTTGTCAAAAGTACAAGTAGTACCTTGTCTGCGTGGCGTTGGTACAAATTGTACCTTCTCCGTGGGGCGTAGGTACAATTTGTACCTCGGTTGCGCCTCTCTCCCCCCCTGGACTTATCCCCCCATCTGCATCCCGCCAAACGAGGCAGAGTAAGAGAAGGAGGAGAAGGAGGATGATGATGAGGAGGAGGAGGAGGAGGAGGAGGAGGAGGATGCCGACGACGATGAGGAGTGGAGCAGAAGAAGGATGACGAGGAAGGAGGAGAGAGGAGGAGGAGGGAAAACGAGGCAGAGGCGGAGGTGGAGGAGGAGAAGGAGGAGGAGGAGGAGGAGGGACAGGAGGCATAGTTGGAGCAGGAGGAGGATGATAGTCTTTTTTGTTGGGTCTCCAGGTGGCCTCCGATGATAATTAGAAACCTCTGGTCATGGATGGTACAGAGCATGGCCGTGCACGACGGGGCCAGTCTGATGCTGCTTGGCGGTGTCTGCGCGTGACACGGATCGATTCGTTCACGCAGCCCCATGGTCGACCAACCTTTCCACGGACGGGTTTCGATTCGATTGCGAGCGGCTCGATCGGTCGTCGGTGGAGCATGCGCCACCCGCAGAGGCGCGGAACGGCGTTGCGCCTTTTGCTTCTGTGGACTGGGCCAAGGAGTATTGCTTTCTCCGTGAGGTTGCGTTGAGAGGTCGAGGAGAGGCGCGCTCTGCGCATCGGGTGGTGGTGGCGGCGGCAGGAAAGTTTTGCGGGTGGTCGCGGTCGTGCAGACCTGCATTCTCGTCGCTCTCTGCGTCAGTTGTGTCTGGATGTGACGAGCTGCTATCACACCAACTAGTTCAAATTGCGCAATAGAAGGGAGGGAGACACAACCCTCCCAGACGATAAGTTTTAGACCCCCCCCCAGACCAGGCATGAAAGGGCAGCCTTTTGCATATGCCCCGCGGAACCCTCCAAGGCAGCTCCAAACGGACCCCCCCAACAAAAATCATACCCCCCGCTTCTATTGTGAAATCCGGAGTGCTTCCTTCGTGCATCATTGATACTGTGGGACGTCCTTGCTCGCCTGCATGTTGCATGCAAGCGTTGAGAGGGCGTCGACGGGTGAACACAATCCCCGTCCTTTCGCTGCGGCAGGGGCAGACACGGATCGGGGGGTGGAGGACAGCGGGATGGACGGTGGAGGATCGTGGGGGGGATGTGGGGGAGCAGAAGCACGACGACAACGACGGCGACGACAACGATGATGATGTCGATGATGATCATGATGATGATGATGATGATGATGATGATGATGATGATGATGATGATGCTGATGATGATGATCATGATGCTGATGATGATGAGGATGATGATGATGATGATGATGATGATGGTAACGATGGTGATGATGCCGATGTTGCTGACGATTGATATTGTAGCTGTAATGCTGATGATAATGATGAGGGTGATGTACATGGATAGGGCGATGGAGACGCTGATGGTGTTGATGACGATGCTGATGACGTTGATTATGATGCTGATGATGGTTTTGATGCTGATGCTGATGCTGATGATGATGTTGCGGATGATTATGATGGTGCTGGTGCTGATGCTGCTGATGAGGGTGATGATGCTGCTGATGATGATGCTACTGTTGATGATGCTGATGGTGACTGTGATGGTGTTGGTGATGGTAAGTGCGATGGTGATGGTGATGATGATGATGATGATGATGATGACGACCACGATCACGATCAAGATCATGACCACTATCACGATCACGATGATACTGATCATGATACAGATGACGATAATGGCGATGCTGATGATGCTGATGTTGAGGATGATGACGGCGATTATTATGATGGTGATGGTGATGGTGACGATGACGATGCTGCTGGTGCTCATGATCAGGATAATGACTATGCTGAGTTGTTGTTGATAGCGATTATGTGAATAACGTTGCTGTTGACAATGCTGATGTGATGGTGGTCATGATGCTGCCGATTATGATGCTGATGATGACGATGATGATGCGGATAATGCTGCTGCTGATGATGATGTTGATTATGCTGATGATGCTGATGATGATGCAGCTGCTGATGCTGATGATGCTGATGGTAATGATGATTGTGACGATGATGCTGATGCTGATGCTGCTGATGATGATGATGAGGATGGTGATGGTCATGATGATGATGCTGACGATGCTGCTGCTGATGATGATGATGATGCTGATGCTGATGACGATGAACGGTGACGACCACGGTGACGACGAAGGCCATGGCGATGGCCAATCTGATTAGGATGACGACGAGCATGACGATGGTGATGAGGTTGTTCTTGGTGTCGGTGATGATGGTGATGATGGTCCCGCTGCTGCTGATGATGGGAGTGGTGGTGAGGGGGGATGAGCAGGAGGAGGCGGAGAAGGGGTATGAGGCGGCGGACGAGGAGGAGGAGGAGGAGGAGGAGGAGGAGGAAAGACGAGTGAGGAGATAGGAACGAGGAGTGAGGAGTGAGTGGGCGGAGGGCAAGGCCATGTGAGCAGTCCCTCTTTCTCAAGACTGTGCCAGGGACTGTGAGAGCCTATCATGGCAGGTCCCAGTGCAAAAGGGAAGCCCTCCGTGGCGGCGCACGCGCGGGAACCACTGACCATGGTCGTGTGGTCGTGGTGCTCCGCGGCTCGCCCGGCGGAGCCCCGGGGCCCCCGACGTGGGAGGTGCTCCCACGCGCGCGCCTGGCGCCCGTGGCCTACAGCGACTTCGGCCTACAGTGCCGTTTTCTAATACATGCTCCGCGTGGGGATCCTGTATTGAACATGCAGGGATTCAGCACTAAAAACAACAACGAGTTCATGCATCAATTCATTCATACATGAATCATGTATCAAAACTCCTATCTTTTTCAACATCCTTATGTATTAAAAACTGCCCTGTACGGCAGGTCCGTGCCGTGACGACCCCGGCGTCGGCTGCCGACATCGCGGGGATCGTTCGACCTTGCACGATCGGCCGACATCGCGGGGATCGGTCAGCAACGACCGATTCTGGAACCCGCCGTGGACGCTGGGATAGGAAAGAGCGCGTTCTGTGGGCGCCTGGAGGAGGTTCGACCCCTCGGGGGGGTGGGTTCGAACCCCGCCCGTCCTCCCCTTCCTCCTCCTCCTCCTCCTCCTCCTCCTCCTCCTCCTCCTCCTCCTCCTCTTTCTCCTCCTTCTCCTCCTTCTCCTCCTCTTTCTCCTCCTCCTCCTCCTTTTTCCTCCTTCTCCTCCTCCTCAGCGCTTGGACGGGGGGGGGGGTCGAAATCCCGGGCGGGTGAAGGGGGGAGGGGGATCCCCCCTGGTTCTGTTCGACGACGCCGAATGTTGCCCCCCCCCCCCCCCGTTTCAAACGCGCCGCAGAATGTTCCAAAGGCAAGCGCCCGTGAAACGCGCCCCCTCGATGCTGAGATGGGAGCCGCTGTGGGCTCATGAGGAGCTCCAGTTTGCTGGCCGTTGCTCAGGCCCACGTCGGGGCTCCCCCTATTGTCCGAGACTCGCCGTGGCAGGGCCCCCCCCCCCCGCTGATTACGGATTTTCGATGTTCTTTCTGGTCGCGCGTGGCTGCGGTTTCCTCTGCGTCTTCGGGGAAGACTTCGAGCACTTCTCAGCAGGGCCGGGGGATTTCCGAGCCTTCCGAGGAGGCCCGCCCCCTCTCGCTCCCCCCCCCTCGCTCGCCGCCGACGGGTCCACGTCGGGGAGCCCGATCTTGGCCGAGACTCGCCGTGGCAAGATGACACTCAACACCCGATCCCGCCTGAGTGCTTTTTGATAGTAATATCCACCCGATCGGCCTGAGATCAAGATGGCGAGCGGGAATAAGATCAAAGATGGGGGGACACAACTATTAGAAGTCTAACGAATGGCTTATTTTCGAGAAAAGGAATTTTAACCGACAGAAATTATGCCCGGGATTCCTGCCTCGGTGGTTTTGCTACGGTCGTGGCACGACGGCCGCATGCGGCCCCCGTCGGCCGCCACAGGCCGGCCCCCCCAGCGGAGGCGGGTTGGACGGGGTGGGCAGCGGGCTGTGGCCCTGTGGCCTCGCGTGGCCCCGAGGCCCTCTTCGGGTATGGCCAGGACCCCAGGTAAGGGGACCCGGTTAGTGGTAGGACCCCGGCGAATTTGAATTGGCCAGAATCACTAAACCAGGTTTGCCATAGCTGGTGTTTTTTCGGGTGACGGCAGTTCCGGGTAGTGGAAATGGAACGGGGGGCGCCCCCGGTACAGATCACTAATTCCACTAAACCCAGTTCTGCCAACGCCCGACCTGTGGTCGGGGCAGCGTTCCACGCGCCGGTCCTCGAGAGCAGGTGTTTTTTTTTAAGTAGGGTGGTTTACTGAAGGGAGGGCTTGTCTGCACGAACGAAATGGGCACGGAAAGAATGGGTACAATGCCCAACAGCGGATTTGGTTCATTTTGAGCAGGACTCGTTGTCCACGCCGCCGCGGCCTGTGTCCATTCGAGAAGGAAGGCCGCCTGCCCAGCAGCGGCCGCTGTTGGTTTGGGGCAACATTTGTTGTTGGGCATTGTACCCATTCTTTCCGTACCCATTTCGGGCGTCCGGGCAGCGTTCCACGCGCCGGTCCTCGAGAGCAGGTGTTTTTTTTTTTTTTTTTTTTTTTTTCGGAGGGTGGTTTACTGAAGGGAGGGTTTGTCCACCGCCGATGTTTGGGCTCCTGGATCCCCGTCTGCTTTTTCGGCG